GAGCCCCCCCCTGGAAAAAAGGGTCCCCAAAATTTTTTTTGGGCCTTTCCCCCTTCCCCCCCCGGAAAAAGGGGTTTTTTGGGTGAAAAAGGGGGGCCCCACGTGTTGGGTTTTTTCCCCGAATTGGGGAAAATAAACCCCCTCAGGGGGGGGACCCCCCCCGGTTTTTTTTTTGGTTTAAAAAAAAAGGGCCCTTCCCCTGGTTTTTTTCCCTTCCCCCCCCCCCCCCCCCCCCGATCATTGCCGAACGAGAGAGACAGAGAGTAATGACGTCACTCCGTACGTACGTCCTACCCCCTGGCTCTTGCTAATCGTATCACCTGATGCTGTACTGTAAGCCCTCCTTCACTCATGCTGCACGAGGTAGAGCGAGAGAGCAATCAAGTCACGCCACAATGATGCCGTAGCCCCCCCCCTGATCCTAGAGAGAGAGAGAGAGAGAATAACCAAGTCACCTCACCTGATGTTGTATGCAGAGGATGCCCTCCTCGTTGACTCTGAAGTACGTCTCGTTGGCGTGCCCTAGAGCACGCATGCCGGTCTCCATGCCGGTCATGAGGTAGGTCCACGATACCCTCCTCGCGGTGCATTCGAAGCACACGAAGGCCTCCGAGCTCTTCGGGAAGTCGATCTCGCTGAAGGAGGAGGAGGAGGAAGTCGTGGCCGGAAAACGACACAAAGAACTAACTGGTAAACCCGGCAGATATATTCATACTTCTAATTACATACAAGAGTGAGATGGAGAGAGAGAGAGAGAGAGTGAGAGAGTGAGTGAGTAGGACAGAGAGGGGGGAGATAGACACAGAGAGTTGGTGAGTGAGAGTGAGAGGGATGGAGACATAGTCCTGGCACACACAAACGATCCGAGAGAGAGAAGGACAGACAGAAAGCGGCAAGATTTGTCGGCAAGGATCGTTGTTGTCACGTGACCACGAGAACCTGTCCCCTGTCCCCTGTTGTGCCGGATCATGATGACGTGCCGTCGACGCGTCTACTTTCGCAGATCATCACGGTTTCACGACGCCGAAAATCCAACAGCAACACCGGCGTCGCGCGAGGCGAGGAAAGAAGTTCTATGCGCCGGTCGAATCTATGAATCATTTCGTGCTGCACTCCAAACATAAGGTGGTGTATATGTCCTTCCACGCGTCGGGGCCCCGTGTTCACTCTAAGAACGAAGGGAGGCCATCAAGGTCAAGGTGGGAAAGAGGGTTGCGCTACAGGTCGCAGAGGTGCACCGCGGTAATCGGTGCTGCCTGAAAAACGATCGACAGAAGACGACCACAAGCAGGACGGGGTCACGGCTTCCGGGGGGCCCGTAGCTTCAGGGAGGTGCCGTGACATATGTACCTGGAGCCGTTGGAGCCCTTGGCGGAGAGCTGAAGATGCGGAGCCTCCTGCCCGAAGGTCACCGATACGCTCGTAGCGCCGTTCAAGTCGGCCAGCTCTTGAAACGCTTCCTGAAGGCCGTGGGGGGGGTCCCGTGTGGCGGGCATGCCGGGTGTCACGAGGGGCGTTTTGTTACACGTGGAACACGTTGATGGACGGGCGTCTACCGGTGTAGTCACGGCCAATCCTGGACACGGGAGACTGGTGCTTACGGTAGAGCGATGAACTCTTGGGGTGGAATGTTAAACTTCTGGGAGAAGATGCGGAGTCCTGGTTCGGTGACCTTACGGCGTCATAGGACGCGGCCACCAGGGTTTACGTACGTGTTGAGGGTGTCGCCCTACCCGAAGAGTGCAAGATGAGGTGATCCCCCTACCGTGGAGCATCACTCGGGCGTCGATTTTTTGTTGCCATCCCCATTTACTCTGGACGTCGGTCGTGCACCTATTCGGTACGATTCGATTCCGACCCACCCGCCAAGGGTCACACAATTACTTGGAAAAAGAGTATGCGTGCGCTATCATGATGCGTCGCCGTAGTAAAGTGGTTCCCTCCTCGCAATGGACAGCTCTCTTTCAACCCTCGACAAACGCGGGGAGACAAGGGGGGGGGGGTGTACTCATAGTCGTGCATGCCGTAGTCGTTAGACCATTGACCTTGCATCCCTAAAAAAAGCCAGGACGGAGCACGCCGGGTTCTCACCGGACCAGGCTATCACATCACCAAGCGCGAAGCGCCGTGAGGTATTCGGCGAGTCGCATGAAGGGTGCGATGCATCCTGCTAAGGGTGTTCGGCATCTTGGGCTTACTTCCTTGCGTACGGATGACAGCTGCGTACGACTTAATTTATTCTCTGGTGCTTTCACTTCCAGAGACAGTTGTAAGAACTGTGTAACTGCCTCGATGATGCTTGGCCATTTTAACACAACGTGGTGCGATCATCCCCCTTGCGCGGAGTGAGAGTTCTCGACCCCGCACAACATGATCTACTCGACCACCACTCATGGCGGGGAGGCCAGGGGGGGGACAAATAACATGAGACGAACAACGAGGTGAACGGCGTCGCGCCCGGCCCACCTTGAGAATTTCTGACTTGAGGATGCAGCGGCAGACCTCTTTGCTCCTGCCGAACGCCTTGGCTAGGGTCGAGAATTCCATGGCTTCCTCGTCCTGCGTGCGTATCGTGTATCAAGAATCACACCAAAATACGGAGCCTAGTTGCATGGCAACGCGAAACCCAGGAAACGTATGCGGACAAAAGGCGCGAGACAACAGGCTAAAGGAAAGGCCCACAAGGAGGATGCTGTGCACGTTGCTCTGCAGGTACCGGGAAAAAGGTGGAAAGACGCCCAAAAATTGCAGAGTTCATGACGTTTGATTCAAGAAGCGCGCGTCTAGAGAGCAAACTAAAAGTGCTGACAAGAGCAACAACAATCCGTACCTGGTGGATGGTTCTTATCTCGCAGCTCGTGAACACCCCGCCCTCTTCCAGGGTAAGGCGGAACGTCGCTCTAGCCTGCCATCGGAGAACGTACGGACAGCACGGGTGCGTCTTGGTTCACCTTGCTGCTCGGGAAGACAGGCGGCGTCTGTGGAAGTTCACAAACTGGATATACCTACTTTCCACGAGGTTGAGAGCTATTCCTGCCGCCGGCGCCACAACAACCCGCCACCTCGCCATTGTGGGATGCATGCAGCTGGCCCTTTCGCTGAGCACATCGCGGCCACCATTTAGCGATCGGCGCGAAAAGACGGCCTGGTCGCCGCACGCACCCGACAAGCTTAGCAACGCCTTCGTTCGGGACGCGAGCACCCATGATCCGCAGAATACGAAGACGCGCGGTCAAGACCCCTCCCCCTCCCGCAACAAAAAAAACAACAACGATATCTCAAAAAGCCTAGGACCGTCTTCGCGAGGGTCTTACTAATAACCTACGAAAAAGAGAGAGGGGGGGAGGTTCGTATCCCTACCCCTAACCCCAGCCATACTAAAACCAAGATAAATACCCTAGCAGAGGCTACAAAAAAACTTACCTCCTGGTACGCCATGCTGACGCTCGTCTGGGCGAGAGAGCCGGGACCGAAGATCTGCAGGCACTCCAGCAGCGTGGTGAGGTTGATGCCGAACTTGGCGCCCTCGACGCAGTCGTACTCCTGGAACAGGCTGCTGTCTAGGGACCCCTGCGCCTGGGTGTACTTGGCTCTTCCCGAAACCACGAGGGTCATCGACTCCTTCGTCACCTATTGTTGTTGTTTTTTGTTTGGTACTTGTTCTTGTCTTGGTTGTTTCTTTCCACTGTTGGTTACTCTCGCGATGTTTGTCGATGTACTCATCGTCGTCGTCTACAAAACTCAACACGTTCAGACCTTGTTCCAGCACACTCCCCATTCCACAAACCACGGTAGCCCAATTGTGGCTGTGTGCAGAAGCGAGTCGGTTAGTCCGAGAAAGGACCGCTTCATCTTTCAATTCCTTGACCTGTGGGGACGGCCATTAGAACAACCATGGTACAACAAAGGTCCGCAAGTTTCGAAACACTCCATCCTCAATCCCTTGACCTGTTTGGCGGGGACCTTGGGAATGGGTGATAACCATCTCCCCCAAGGTCCGAGGAGGACGTCGTTTTCGCAAAGTGATGGCTGGTCTGGTCCTGAAGGATTGTTCCTCTTGAGACGGGGAGCACGATGGTTTTGCGTCAGGAACCGTTGTCCCAGACATCTGTCATGCTGCAAGTGAGCGTACCACCTCCATGCTACTCCAGAGAAAAAATACTTGGTGATATTCTCCAGACCGAGCGGCGAAGAGCGAGGGTCTCACCTCCCGTACAGCAGCGGCACATACATGCGTACAAGGGTGCCGAGCTGAAGAGGAGTGTCTTAATTCAGTCGTCCTCCGGAGCACACAAACAAATGACACTTGGAGCCGTTTCAAACACCGCTGATTTGCTTCCGAATTTCCAACTTCCCAAACATTTTCCGTCGGCCGCAAATGAAGGTTCTATGATCTGCGGATTTGGAAAATTGGAAATCTGGAGGCGCAAGAGCTGCTGTATAGTATGCTCTGTACTCCTAGAGCAAAAAAAAAAAAACTCACTTCGCACTGGGCCTGCTGGTCCTTGCGGGTTCCGTGGCTAAGGCAGGAGAGGATTGTGGTGATCGACTTTGCGTTGTCCAGCCGGCACGAAAATATTACTTCGTCGCTTTCTTCGTCCTCCTCCTCCCCCCTCTGCAGCCAAGGTTCACGCGGCGTAACGGCACAAGAAAGTCGCCGCCGAAGAAAGCGGTGGTCACTAAGAGGTACACCCACCGGGACCGAGATGAGTGTTGAAAAGGGTGGTGGGCATGCTGTTGTGTTGACCCCGCCGCTGGACCTGACGAGAGGCCGTGGAAATGTCATGTTGTTTTCTAAAAGACGGCTACCTACACGCTGGCAGAGGCGGATGCGACCCCAAAATGTGTTCTAAATCGCAATGGACAATCACCGTCGTGTTTGCACTTCGTGAGCGTGTGCTCAACATTCTGTACCCAGCGTACCGTAGACCACTGCCCGCATGAGATCCACTTCAAACCTTGGTTCAAAGACGGTACGCGTAGTACAACAGCAGTGCCTATTCCGCACACTCAAACGTTTTATTTAGGCTCAACCCCACGAACGCTGCTTCATTACAGCACGCGAAGGACAACTTGGGTCCCCAAGACGGCACACGCTTTAACAAGCAAGTACCTACGGGTAGCGCAGCGAGCGGCACATAGCATACCCCACCAGCAGCCAGGGCCAATACCGCAAAACCAATCCCTTTGGCTACCGCATGAAGGTCTGTACCTGTCCAGGGCCGTGGTGCCGTGCAGGATCATCGACCCCTGGTGCGGAAGACTCCTGAGACATGATTTCTGCTGGGGTGTACAGCAGTAGCCCTTGCTGGGCTTGCAATCTACGGCGGTGTGTACCAGTCCCGCGTTTTTTTTTTTTTTTTGGTTCCCTGCGAGGACAGCGAGCGCACACAGCAATAGAAACGCGCAGTTAGGATGTGTGTTCACACAAGGGCTGCGTTTGCGGCCGGGCCGTAGTGTGCGATACTCAGACGGACGGTTAGCAGCCATACCTATCGACTAGACATAATATTCTACACACGCTGTGTACACTTCTACTGCTTGTAGATACAAGAGACCGCGGATTGGAGTTTGAAAACTCAAAAGTTACAAACCAGCTTGCGAGACAGCAATGACAGCAGTACACAAGGTGGCAGAGTAACAAACTACTGTAGTTTGGGCTCATGCCAGCTACAAGCTACACGGAATTCATCAGGGTACCTGATGCGGAGCGAAGAGGGAGGGAATGCGCGCGTGTCACGAATGCCGAATGACAGCTGCTGTACGCTGTACCCTTAGGGCGCGAATATTTGCAATCCATGGATTATAGAAGAGAACCACAGTCCAAACATCCAGACGGATCGAAACCCCGGGAAACCGCCCGGAGTGTCCCCGAAGAGGTTCTTCTCCCTCTCCTATAAAAGCAGCGATAATCACGGCGGCGGAGAGCCGTCTGAAGGCGGCGACACGCACCCGCACGCTGGGGGAAGACGAGGAGACAACACACAACGATAACTGGTGAGATCCCGTCCCGACAGGCGTCCGTGCATCCTCTGTGTCTGTGCCTCACCCTCACCCTCTCTGTGATGTTTTTTTTGGAAATAAAATAGCAACGGCCGCACCCGCACCAGCGCCATGTGTGTGTTGGTCTGTCTCCTGTGTTGCAGCCTCCCTCATGCTGTCCCACGTGTCGATGCTGCTCTGTACCTGTTGTTGCCGTCGTACGTACGTTGGTGATCATGTGCCTGCACTGGTGTGGTCAGGCCAGGCCAGGCCCTGCCTGTTGTCCTTGCCGTATAGTCCGGAGTCTTTTCTTCTGGCTGCTCGGCTGTATGGTGGTGCTACAGCAGTGCTGGGCTGGTAGAGGTGCAGGCATTGTGCACGCACTTGCCCAACCCCTTAACTTCATGTGTCTACCCTCCATGTTCGCGTCGTGGGACCCGTGGCCTGCCGTGCGGTAGTGTCATTGCTAGGAATGCTTCCATCCAGTGCTGCTCTGTCGGCCTCTTACGGTGCTCGTCATGCTGGCGCTGCGGGAGCCTTTGCGGGCTACCCTGTACAAGCCCACCCCGTACAGCAACAACAGCAGCAGATATTGACCACCAGCCCTCCGCCGGAAACGCAGGCGAGACGGGTTGATGTTTGACAAGTGCGGTTCGACGTGACACCGGCAATGTTTGTTCCGTGGGTGTAGCACGCCAGTGGATTGTCGCTGCTGTGCTGTACCTCGTGCCTTTCAACGCGTGCACGTACGGTTCGCTGTTTTCGTGTACTCAGCGGTGGACGGCGAAACGTTTCATTTGTCTTGTCTTGTGATCAAACGTTGACATGGTGTCCTTCCATTCCGCCGCGTGGTGGGTTTCGCGTGCGGTTGCAGGCCATGCTTTCACCTCGCACTGGTCTGCCGTTGGGAACTCCGGCCCCTGTGGGTGCTCCCGATGCTGGGGCCGCCGGAGGTTTTGCGGGCTACCCTGTACAAGCCCACCCCGTACAGCAACAACAGCAGCAGACATTGACCACCAGCCCCCCGCCGGAAACGCAGGCGAGACGGGTTGGTGCTTGACACGTGCCGTTCGGCGTGACACCCTCAATGTTTTTTTGTGTGCTTTACTTGATGTTGCTGCTGCTGTTCCCCTTGGCCCCATGAAAAGAGCACCGGTATCTGGCATTCCCCCGGTCCACATCAAGGCTCCCTGTAGAGGCCCTGCCATTGTTTCCGTGGGTGTAGCACGCCAATTGATTGTCCCTGCTGTGCTGCACCTCGTGCCTTTCAACGCGTGCACGTTCGGTTCGCTGTTTTCGTGTACTCAGCGGTGGACGGCGAAACGTTTCATTTGTCTTGTCTTGTGAATCAAATATGGGGCAAGGAAGATTGAACTCGTTGGAGTAGGTCTACAGTGGCTCCCGTCGTATCCCACGGTTTGTCATGGTTGGTAGTCATGATGCCGCATGACGAACGGCCCTTGAAGCGTGGTACTGCTGTCGCCTCCACATTGTTACCCTGTTTGTCTGTGACACGCCACTTATTTTTGTGCTCCCGGCTCTCCCATACGGCGCAGGTCATGGGATGAAGCCAAAAGAGGTGACGAAAGCAATGAAGGCGTTGCACGAGGACAGCGACATCGACATCAACAAGCGCGCGGTGCAGAACGCAGCTGCCATTGTGCACGGGGCGGAGAAGCCGAGAGATGCTGCCGATGCGTACGAAGAGGTGTGTCCATGTGTCCGTTGAGACTGTTGCCTCTCTTGTTTGTGTGTGGGATGTTGGGTTTTGCTCAAGGCGGTATCCGGGCGACAAGACACATACGATCGCAGGTGACAACCGGGAGAATATATGCCCCATGACACCAAACCAAGAAATGTTGGAGGTAAAAAATGTGTGCCGTGCCGTCGTCGTGGTTTTGCGCTGATGCCCTCGATGTTTCCGGGCGCTTAACATGTTGCAATTTCAGGTCATGGCCGCGACGGCCGACGGCGGAGTGTGCGAGATCAAGATGGATGACAGCGGCCGCCTGACGCACATCTGGTGGCAAACGAGAGAGCAGGTAGGTCGCCGGTCGTTGTGCCCCATACGAATATTCCCCAGCCGGAAGGTTTGCTTTCATTTTAGCATCTCGCACGTACCGCTTCGCCGTCCGCAAATGTAGGACGTCTGACCGAAAGCACGCCGTAGGCAAGGGTGGGGGTGCGTTGTGACGCGTCCAACACACGTCACACCCACAATTAAGTGCTCTCGATCCCCTTCGACGTCATGCTCCGAATACGCAGGTGGCGCTTTGGAATCGGTACGGTCACGTTGCGCTCTACGACGACACCGCTGTCAAGAACAGATACCGTATGCCTCTCGGTGTGCTCGCTGTCGTCGATTCGGAGTATCGGACGCGGATCGTCGGCCAAAGCATAACGGCCGACACCACAACGGACACTTTCCTGTGGATGTTGAAGAGTGCGTTGGAGTCTCGCGGGAAGCAGCCGGATACCTTCATCCAGGACGCGGACGCGGCGATGACGGCGGCGGTGCGAGAGGTGTTCCCGGACGCGCTGGCGAGGCGCAATTTATGGCACCTCAACCAGAACGTTATCAAGGCCCTCGCTAAAGTCCTTGGTGGGTACATGAAGGTGCGCTCTACTGTGTGTGTTGGCGTGGTTAGTCTGGCCTCTCGTATTGTCCTGGTCGCGCGACGTACGCTGCCCACTCTAGCCCCCCTCCCCCACTCCCGCTTGTATCCCCTGTGCGAGTTGGTGCGTTGTCATGGATCAGTGTCGCCTACTTGGAAGAGTGATATCCAGCGTCTCTGCGTAGACCGTGATGCGGAGACGACCTCGGCTTCGACGGAAACATACCTCACGACGTCCAGTGCACACAGAAAAAGCAGCAGCAGCAGCAGCAGGTTGTAAGCACCAATGGTATGTCGCTGAGTTTTTTCAACCCTCTCCTCGTCTCGCCTTAGCGCTAACGAAGTGTACGGGGTTGTTGGTGGCAGTCAATCGTACAGACCGGTAGCCCATATCGCAAAGGCCCCAACTCACGCAACACCCACCCGGCCCACGTCGTTTGTGTTTTCCGCAGCCTTTCATGGACGAGTTCAGGTGTGTGCGTCAGCAGCTGTCATTGGCGAAGTTCGAACGGAAGTTCAACGCCCTCATCGAAAAGTACCCGAAGGCGGAGAAGTACATGCAAGTAGTATATGACGACCGTGCACGGTGGGCGGAATATGTGTCGCCCCTGGTGTTCTCCGTGGGTTCGTGGACGACATCAAGAGTTGAAGGTGCGTGTATGCGTCATCTGCCATCATGAGCGTTTTGTTCGAGAACGACAGCGCATATAGCGTTGTCGTTGTTTTTGGGAGTTTTTCTACGTCTGTAGGGGTTGGGGGCGGCTATCTTCCTTGCCCCCTATTTACTATGCCATTGGTGAGTGCTTCTGGACGAATTTATCGTACGCCGTCAGTGGATGACCAGTAAACAACTCCCTACATGACGCTAATGTTTACGACCTCTTCGAAACATGTGGCTGTTGTCCGGCCCCTGTTGTTCGGGATTGATGTACTTGGTCGGTGCACTGCGATCGTCCGGCTCACGTGTACATACATCTGTGGCGATGGGTGCGTCAAGTCATAGGCTTCTCTTTCAGTCGTTTGGCGTACTGCGACTTCAACGATGTCTGATGACACCAATCACTAACCTACGGTTTGGTTTGTGTGTCGCTTCTTGCGTGTTTGTCCGCCGCACACACAACAGGCCAAAACGCCCTCATCAGGGATAGGTGCAACTCGCGCTCCTCGCTTTTGGACGTGGCGAAGTACTTTTCGGGCATCATCTGTTCCCAGAAGGATGCCGCCATGCTGCGTGACGCAATCGACCATCTGCCGCCTAATCGGATGGCGGCTCCACCAGCGACCGCTTTCAAGAGTGTGCTCGAGTCCTGCGAGTTCTCCATCGCGGGCTGGCCGCGGCGGTTCATGGAGCAAGAGATGACCGCGGCCATCACGTTTTGCCAGATGGGTGGTGGGGAGGTGGATGGACCAGAACGCGCGGCAGCTTCGGGGCGCACGTTCGAGTACATCGAGGACAAGCTTTGCGACGCCATTTACGTCTTCGGGATTCACGAGCAGCGTGATGACAAGGCCTTCGACTACCTCGTCTTGCTCTTTTCCGACGGTAGCCATCTCTGCCAGTGCCGCACACTCCAAACTCTCAGGCTATTTTGTCGCCATGTGTGGGCGGCGATGATGTACAGCCCCCGATTCAGATTCCACGTAGGCCTCCTGCACGAGCACTGGCTGACGGAAAAGGCGAGGGGAACACCGCAGCAGGACTGGCCGGATGTCGCCCGCCCTCGGTGGGTGGTATCCAACCGCCACGCTGCGAGAGAAGTGGACGGGGCGGCGGGAGAGGGAGAGGGAGAGGGGGTGGGGGGATGCAGCGGGAGGTGGAAGTCTTTCGTTGGGAGCAGCCAGACGGTGCAGACGGTCCTGTTGGACTTGAAGGAGAAGGGGCCCACGGACCAGGATAGACAAGTGTTGTACGCCGACGTAACGAAGAAGCTCGGGCAAGCCGCGAGTATTTTGTCTGATCGCTTTTCACCGACAGTCGCCGTAGCCCTCGTGGACCAATTTCTGACGATGGTCAATGTGCAAGCAGGCGGGGTAGGAACTACAACGACGGGAGGGCGGGGGGCGGCTCTCTTCATGGCCAACCCTGGAACTGTTCGCCTGCCCGCTAGGACAAGTAATAAAAGACGACCTGGCGCTGCAGAAAGATACACAAGAGGGGGTAGCAAGAGAGCCGCGACTTCGGGGTCCCAACTCTAGTTTCGGTGTTGCATACTTTGGGGTACGTGAGTAGCGGTACGCGGCCCTAGGTTTACGACGTCACCGGGGCATATGCCTGAACGATGTTTTGTCCCCCCCCGGCGGCAGGTCAAGGCTCGGTGTGTTGTTTATTTTTCGCTTCGGCGTTTTTGCGCCGATCGCCGTCTGTGATGTTGTCGATTTTGTGTTTGTATGTCTATTTGGTTGTTGCGGTGTAGCGTTCGATGGGGCCATCTGGTTCCTGTCCTGTTTTTATTTCTTTTGTTCCATTTCCTTTTCTTTTCTTTCTTCCGCCCCCTTTTTTGCCGTGTTGGGGTCATATCCAGGTCCCTTTCTTTTTTTGGTGGGGGTCAGTCTATCATCAAATCGCTGTTGGATATTGATTGTTCTGTTTTGTTTTTTTCTGCGTCTATCTGTGCTTGTCGACCTGTGTGCTCTGCGAAGAAAACCGTGTGAGCCGCGTCTCGAGTTTGTTGAGCGGGCCTGCGGTGTGCGAACTAAACGATGCCTACAGATTTTGACGGCCCCATGATGACTGACATCCATCACGGCAGCACCGTGCAGCAGGTTATATCTACCAAAAAAAGAATACTGCTGTATGTAGTTCACAAAATCTACAGCAACAATTGCTTGCAGCAGCAGAAACGCACAACAACAGCAGCACCACACGCGGATAGACACACACACAGAGAGAGACGAGCACTCCTCTAAGTACGGGGCGTTGTGTGTCGTCGTGTCCTCCTGTTCCTCTGAGGCCTAGCGTCTCCTGGGCATCCCGGGTGCGAAGGGTGGCCTTGGCGTGAAATATGTGCCAGTATGGCAGTATGGACTGTTGAGGCTGTTGCTGCAGACGAGAGCTCTGCTTCCGAAGACAACGGGCGTTAGATCCAGGCTCCGAGATAATATTGAATTTGAGAGGGAGAGAGGAGAACCTCTTCGGGGACACTCCGGGCGGTTTCCCGGGGTTTCGATCCGTCCGGATGTTTTGGCACTGTGGTTCTCTTTTATAATCCATGGATTGCAAATATTCGCGCCCGTACCCTTAGGCGCGCGCTATTGGCGGGAGGCGTTGTGGTTGGTTCTCCGCGCGAGAGTTCCTACTCGGGTGTCAGGCTGATCGGGCCGCATGCACTCTCGGATCAATTGTGCAGCAGGTCCTGCATCCGCAAATAAGGTGTTGTTGGGGTCACCAATCTTGCAGTGTACAGACTCGAACACTCACCGCAAAGTCTTCTGGACATCTGTTCCCAAGAAGTGTGATCATGGACGTGGCCATTCCAATAAATTGTGTACTGCTGCGAAGAGACGAAAAACGCGGTTACTTACTTTACGATGGTGGCACACTTTCCCAGTGTGTCTAGACTATTTCTATGGTACAATATTCTAGTTGCTGGACACGAAGAGCACACACGAAGAGCATACACACACATAGCTTATTTTCTTACCATCGGTCCCCTGTGTGACTTTTGCCGTATGTACAGTGCCGTATGTACAGCAGTGTATTGTACAGCGGTACAGATCGGTTTCGACACTTGATTTCTTGGCAGGCATATTCTCGTGCCTGAAACCGTGATATGTATTGTAGTGCCATACTGTAGTGTAGTGTGAAGTTCTCTGCGGTCAAAGCTGATAGAGGTAACCCGCCCCACGCCTTTCAATAGCACCGTGAGAGGAAAGGGAAACGTGTTCGATTTTCAGGAAATGGGTACTGTCGGGGCAACATTGATATGTAGAGATTTCCAGGCCAAGCATTGCGAGAGATAATTTACTTCCTGAACTGTATCTACATGTACACTGTACTCAGCACGAATATCTCAAGACACTCTCCGACATACACATGCCACTAATAGCATCGACTTCTGCTTCGTAAGAAAGAAAAGCAAAACCATTCCCCCAAAATAACCTCAGAGTTCGAACATCAATCACCATCTTACAGAGGTTGTCGTTTTCTTCGCCAACGGAGCTGGAGCCTCCATCTCTCCCATCGGCGGCGACGACGCCCCCGCGGCTGGTCCAGCAGCGGTTGTCGCCAGTCAAAGCCGCTAGTCACCGCTAGTCGCCGCTAGTCTCCGCCGCCGGGGCTTGGGATGGGCGCGTGTACGGTGATCCATCCCAGCCGCCGTCGCCACCGCTGCCGCCACCCTCCTCCCGTGCGACTCTGGTCCACGGGGACATGAAGGCAGTCCATGCAGCGGCGTTCCAACCATTGCAGTCGGAGCCGCAATCTCCCCTACCGGCGGTGACGGCGTCGAGAACACTCTCCGGGTTATCTTTTTCCAGGGAGCTTGGCGCGGAGGAGCCCCCGGGGGCGATTGTCTCTGTATGCCGTTCAACGCTCGCGGTATCCTAGCAGTACTCCGGGGGAAGCCTTCACAGATCGAGTGTTGTCGTTCGATACAATACCAGCACGCGCGAGACCTGCAGGTGACCGGCCTCGTGCTGTGGTCTGTTCAGGTAGGAGTACACGGGACGAGGCGAAAGGCAGCAGGCATGCACGTTTCACCAAATTTGCCGAGTCAATGCTATCTACAACCGGACCCATCCTTGTCGTGTGCGCCACAGCGTGGGGTTTGAATCGTATTGACTCGACAGATGCTCCAAGCACATCAAAACCCGAATGCGTGATGCAAGCGATTCAAAATCATCAGAGTCTCGGATTTACATCGCATCCTCCACCCTGGTTGTCGAGGCGGCCATGAAGCGTACATGATTGGTCCCCAAATGAAGACACTGAAACTTGGACGACATGGCTAGCAAAATTCACTCGTGCACCACGTCCGATGAATCTCTATATATCGGAGAATCACCGACGTTGTCACCAAAGACACACATTCATAAATACACACATTGCTTCGAGCCTGATGTGGAGCTCGCCTGCTCGACGTTATTTCAGGTCCAGACATGTTGATCTTTGAAGTGTCTGACCTCACATTGGAACCTGCCGCAGCAGAGTGACTTGAAAGAATGAGCTTTTCTATAGACATGACAGGCACAGAGAGTGAGTGTGAGAGACAGGGGGAGGCCCCGATGGTATAAAAGCAATCACCTAAATTGCGACGAGAAAATCACAAACCACGGACCTGTGACTCATGAGGCTAGGGAGTCGTCGACAAAGTGGGTTCCCATTGCTATTTCTCTGTCGTCAAGACAATAGCCCTGAAACCGAGGATCTCACGTGAATGTGTTTGCGTTGCAGCAACTGGATAGCTTGGACGGCTTGATCGTTGTTCCCGCTGCTATGAGAGAGCAGTCGGTCAGGCCGGCCGAAGTGGGTACGCGACGGAGGTTCATTTTGGCGGTAGTCTCTCGCGGGCCTTTCCAAGGTACTACATACTTAGCATGCCTGCGATTGATTGTGTTATTCTGCACTTCCAAGGCAAACGCACATCGTCGGCGGCTCCCGGTTGGCATGTCAGCGACCAACCATACACCGAACCAACAGCAAGTACACATGATGCAAGAGTGCACATCATGCTTCGGTGATTGGCCTCTACAACACATGCGTCTGTGTATCGCACTGCCATGGCGCTTGCGATGCCGGTGAATCCTTTCGGGCGACCAAGAGCAGGGTCAACGTCGAACGGCTCTGATATTTCGATGTACCACAGTCTATACCATAGAGCGAGCAGTCCTGCATCATTCCTCCGCGAAATGTACAACAAATGATAACGGCATTTTGACACTTGTTTGAAACCCTTCGGTGCTGTCGTTCGTGAGCACTGGATTCGTTTTGGGCTCGTTGCCATGACGATGCGAACACCAAAGGGAACATGCAGCTACAGGTGCTACCGCCCTTTGATCTCCGGCAAGCCCACACATTGTGGGCAGCATGCCGGCATCGGCGACCGCGCTTAGCTTGGGTACATGGCCTCAGCTCCTGGTGTGCTGCGACCCTGAGTCTTTACTCATTTCGATTTGACCGTGTCCAGATCATAGGCTTCGAGTACCCTTGCCCAGCCGTTGGAGACACTTCTTGCTACACCTCGACGACATTATTTCACTCGGCGGCTGAACTTCACTCTACGGAAAGTATTTGCCGGGGGTGTTCATGTAGTACGTCCAGGGGAGGAATACCGTCTACGGGTGAAATATATTGTAAGGTCCAGAAAGATAGCAGCGACATATATTTGAATTACAGGGCTCGCGGCGGCTTGAATCGTGATGGACTACCACGTCTCACGATACTTCGATGGGAACGTGGATTGGTGCTCGGAAAGACGATGGCGTGTACACGCGGAAACTTGATACTAACGAAACAGAAGTGTTGCGGCGAATAGTCCACACCTTCAATTCTCTGCAGCTTAGCGTTGGTGTAGGCTGAAATGGACTCCCGTGGTTTGGCAGGCGTCCTCGAATGTGAGTTTTTGCCCCGAGTTGGGCGTGTGATCCAAAGAACCACCTCTGCCATTGCGTGCGTTGACCATTCACCCGACCAAAACCTACACTACTGCCATGTGGACGAGGGGAAAAGCGGGGAAAATTCCAGGACCGCGCCGCTCCTTCTACTCTTTCACCAGTTTGCCCATGGTTTCGTGTTCATGTATTGCCACCATATTGGACACAACAAGGGTGATTGCTGTGGAACCTGTGCAGGTCTAGAATTATTGTGAATTAGACTGAGCAAAAGCAAGCATACGTGTGGCTATTTCGCCCGCTACTGTACCCTGAGGGTCATCATTGGTACGGTGCTTGCCATCCACCATACAGATTGACACGACCGATGGAGACAGGTTTGTCATCGAAGTAAACTTTCCGCGCCAGCTTTCGTTTGAGCGGGTGTTTGACCGAATCGTTTCCTCGCGGACGCGAAATACCAATATTGTCGTGCCTCACTCTCAAGCTGGCATTACTCTAACAATCCCGCGAAAACCCTCTTCACCCATCCAGAGTCCAATCATGGGATGTGGAAGGTCACCAATAGGAGGGCTGTAAGGTGTTCCTCGGAACTTGGAGATTAGAATATTCTTGTACATGCCCAACCAAGCCGGCGAGGTTTGGTGTCGCTGTAGTACGTTGCAGATGGTAGCGCAGAGGGGGTTTCCTGGGACAGTTGCTACAAAGAACATGTTGGTTGATTGGAGAAACGACTCGCAAAGATTTTCTTCGCGAAACCACCACAACCCCAACGATACCGAAGATATATCTACTACATGCACGGTACTACTGCACGTGCTACAGCAAGTTCATCTCAAGACACCCCACTACCCATGCCACTATCATCATCGAATGTTGCTTCGTAGGAAAGGGCAGCAATCGCGCCCCCGAAACGACTTCAGAATGAACATCAATCGTTATATGGTACAGAAACTGACATCGAACAATCTTTTACGCGCCCGTCCACGTTGGAGGCCTCCGTGCAGGCAAATTGAAAACCGCCAAGACCTCGGAATCGATCCCTGGCTAACGTTCGGTTTTTTGCTCCTTATGAAAATATCATCATCACAGGGATACTTGTGTACATCACGACTTGAAGTGATCTGCAACCGAACGCCACATGGCCCCGCCACCTGAGCGTAGAGTGTGTTTATCGCCGACGATAATGCACTCTTCCTTGGCTCTGGAGATGGCCACGTTCACTCGGCGGCGGTCGGTCATGAACCCCGAAAGTTTGTAGCCGACTCCACCACTGCGGACGGTAGAAATGACGACCACATCAGCGTCGGATCCCTGGCAGGAGTCCACCTTTTCGTTTGGGATCAATGACGATTCGCAGAAGACGGCGTGACCACAATTTGGCAAGGATGCAATTGAATGGCAAGTTTCACTTTGTCTCATTTTGAGCAAACACTTCCACTCTCCATGCGTAGAGGTAGCAGTAGGCGAATGAATTCCCGCGAACACGTTACAAACACCAAATCTGTGATAAAGGCACTACATGGCATGCATGATACATACTGTTGTGAGAGGACCGGAAAACCACGTCACCCCTCACGTGTGAATGAGCGAAGAAACTTGCTCCTTCTACAGTACTACCATCACACACAAGTGACCGACATTGAGGTACAGCATTATTCTACAATACCTTACTTCGGTGGCCAACACCCCCGAGGCAGCGATCACTTGCCTGCAAACAGTGAGAAGTCAGGATATTCGTCCACAAGCTATAGATGCCGAAATCAAACCATTAGACTAGTCAGTCAAAGGTGTCCAGCCTGGGCTTCGAACCCACGACTATGATATACAGAAGCCGAAATCTTACAGTTAGGCAATACAGCTCTGACTACAGTCTAACGGTTTGATTTCGGCTTCTATGAAGCCCTGGCAAATGGGAGTGGTACCTGCCCTAGAACGGGAGTGGTACCTACCCTCGTTGATGGGCACTCGTATTTTGATACATTGTCGGTGATACCCTCACAAGATATTAAAAATGGAGAGACACATGAATGTCCTACCGATGCGATGCGAACATTCTTGATGTCGGGCTTGTCCTTGAACTCCCGCTCGAGATCACGCTTCTGCATGTTGTAGAAGGTGATGACGCGGATGTCGGCCTCCCTACCGTATCGATGCATAGAAGCCCTGACCTCTTGCACCACTTTGGGAATCTCCAGGTGGTTGGAGTAGCCCTGCCAGTGTATCAGGAACGCGAACATCAATCAACCAACAATGGTGGCGAGCTGTAAGACGAATAGTATATTCATACATCCTTTTCGCTCATAAAGCAACGGTGGGCTCTGTGTCTTTTACCTGGCAGTAAAATCAAGAACTCGAGGTATGCAGTCTAAGGACGTTGCACGAGATGCCACAAAATAGCTTGGCAGAAATTTGGCGTGTGGTCGCACAAACACTTCACTCACCCGTCCTTGATGCTTGGTCTCGCCACCGCTGACGTGAACCCACTTGGATGGCTGGTGGGACATCCTCGTAAGCCGGAGCTCCTCCGCAGTCTTGAGCTTTCCGTCGTAGAACGTGCTGGAAACCACCTGCGCGCGGTTGCCAGGAATATAATGGGAATATGAGTTGTTGCGCGAGCAATACCGTAGAGGGCATGTATCATCGAAGAACGTGAAATATGTGCTCGTTTGCTCCGAAATCGTCGTTTATCCGCAAGGAGCATCGTCGCTTCCCCCAGCCGGGCTGTTGGATGAGAACGGATCGTGAATGCGCTATGTTCTCATCAACGGAAGCATCAAACCTGGCACAGTGTTGGATGCATTCTGTATTGCAGGTCGAGGAACTGGTTTGCCCTGCCGCTGTCAAGAGCGCGCTCCATCAGGCTCCTGGAGTGGTGTTTGCCAGCTTCGTTCTCGCGTACTTGGGAGAAGGGCTGCAGCTGCTGCTGGTCACCTGAATTCAATCACAAAGAGCATCTGGTTCAGGATCAAAGGTACAGTAGTTCATCTTGTGCACAGGTGAATTTCTCCAAATGATAACGTTGTTTTTGCAGGACTCTGTGTTGTGAATGACTGTACACGTGTCCACCTCAAAACCGTGATATTCCCACACACGCGCACAAACCAAGAGCCACCGGTCACTGAAACACGTAAACCGTACCGACAAGGGTGAGGTTCTTGATTCCTAGTGCAAGTAGCACGGGCACAGCTGCTTCCAGAACGCATGCCGCCTCGTCCATGATAGCCGTGTCCAGAGTGAGCCGGCACGATGACGCGTCCAGCTCATGCCCGATCGCGATCGCGGCCTCCAGTGTTCCCTCTTCCATCGTTCTCACCATGCGCTCCGTGCTGTCAACGGTGCAGATAAGCACACGTGTCTCGGTGAAAATCCGGAAGCGCGTCAGGCCCTCCAGCCTCATCAAAAGGCTAGCCACGCGAGAAGCGCCTTCGGATAGAAGGCGAACCCACTTGTCCAGGGCCTTCAGCTGGTGGAGCATGAGCCTCTGCGCGAGGCTGCCGTTTACAAGGCGCTTGTAGAAGTTGGCCTTGAGAACGCGCTTCAGAGCAAACGCCCACTTGCCCGCTGCCCGCCCACTCCTCCGAAGCTGGTGGTGTTTCTTGCCCGTTCCGGTCGACTTCAATGACTCTTGCTCGAGAGCAAAGAGTCGGGCGACGCCGGGGAAGTTCGGGAGGTGAAGTCTACTCCACGACACCGCTTGCGCCGACTTCAGATGCTTGGTCCACGTTTCTCGTGCATCTCGCCAAAACAGGAGTTCAGCGTCATTGGCCATCCGACCGGCCATGGTAAAGTTCTTGGAATGCGGGCCGAGGCGAGCCTCGTTTCCGAATACCTAGAAAACATTGTGAATACGAGGGGGGGGGGGGGGTGTCATAGTCGTGCATGCCGTAGTCATTAGACCATTGACCTCGCATCCCTACAAAGCCGGGACGGAGCACGCCGGGTTCTGACCGGACCAGGCTCGCACAATACCAAGCGCGAAGCCCCATGAGGTATTCGAC